ACTTGTATCTGCATGGGGTCAGCAAACCTAGCTCTGTTTTTTTGGTTCTTGAGGCCTGCCACCCTGCAAGCAAGCCTCCTGAGCAAATCACTCAAGTTTACTCGCTCTTTGGGCTCAGAAATCACTGCTCTATCTCATTCTGTGCTGCTCTTCTGGGGTCACAGGTTTCTGTTCCTAGATCAAGGAGGTTCACTGTGCAGGGATCTCGGGGTCCAAAGAATGCACTCCACTCCTGGCTCTTCCTTTTTGTTATTGAGACCGTCTCTCTACTGCTCCTGAGATGACTCGTTTCATACCCATGTTAGAGTTCCAGGTTTTCACAATCACAATGAGCTAGTAACAGTCAGTCACAACTGAATCATATAACCAATAAGCATCTTACCCAGACCCACCAGGAGAATGAATGTTGAGGGTTTACAAAGACTGTGGCTTTGAGGGTTTACAAAGAATATGGTTTTTTGCACTACACATATGCGTATATGTGATTATGTTGTACTATAAAGTTATTTACTTATGTTTATTCTGGTATGAAAATTTTTTGAAATTTTAAAGTTGGTAATAATTGATTATTTTGACCAAACTTGACTTGTCTTGATTTGTATGTGTGCATGTACAAGTATTTTATTTGTTTGATCTTTTGTAGGGAAAGTATTAACAACACTTATCAACAAACATACTAAAATCTTCAGAATAAAAAATCTTGATTACTAAAAATTTAATTAAAGAATGATGTAACATTTTAAAACTTTTTTTGCTTTTAGGTGATGGATGTGGACACACCATACTAGGCCCTGAAAGTGGAACCCTCACGTCTATAAACTACCCGCAGACCTATCCTAACAGCACAGTTTGTGAATGGGAGATCCGAGTAAAGGTGGGACAGAGAGTCCGCATCAAATTTGGTGACTTTGACATTGAAGATTCTGATTCTTGTCATTTTAATTACTTACGAATTTATAACGGAATTGGAGTCAGCCGAACTGAAATAGGTAGGAAACATTTTTTGTTTGTTATAAATATACATATAATACATTATTACCCTGAATTTTAAAACTAAAGCAGTTATTGATACTTAATATTTGGTAGTTACACTGTATAAAATGATATGTGGGAAATTACTGAAAACTTGTTGAAATCTCTAGTTTGACTCTTTTAGGAAAAGTTTATTCACAATCTATTTTTTTGTTTACTTTTCAAGTAAGTTTGTTTAGTTGATACCTTTACACAAGATGCTGTAGTGCTGCTTTTAAGGAGGAAGTTAAGTATCTTACTTTCTGTACTTTGCTTACTGCATTTTGGTTCAAGAATAAAAGAATAATGTGTGCTTTGGAGGTGGGGTAGCATGATGACTAAGAGAGTAGGCTCTAGATCCAAACTGCCTTGTGTTAGATCCCCACTGTACTATGACTTGCTGTGTGACCTTGGGAAGGTTACCAAAGTTCATGTTACATCATTTGTAAAATGGGAAGTGAACTGATAATGTAAAGAGATCAGAACAGTACTTACATATGATGCATGCTCAGTAAATGTCAACTCCTATTGCAGGTTACTATTTGCTAAGAGCTTGTTAGCTACCCTTGAGTCTACTGTGACTTATGGCATCCCCATGTACAAGAGAACAAAATACCCTGTGCATATCTTCAGTTGTATGCTCAAATTCATTGTTACGACTACTGTGTATTTTGAATGCCTTCCAATCTATAGGAGATTAACTATCTTATAACACTGTATCAGGTTGTGATCCATAGGATTTTCATTGATTAATTTTCAGAAGTCGATCCCCAGATCTTTCTTCATCAGTCTGAAATCTCTGCTGAAACTTGTCCTTGGTGGGTGACCCTGATGGCATTTGAAATACCAAAGGCAGGGCTTCCAGTATCATCAATGCTAAAGTTACTACAGTATGACAAACTGACAGGTGGTGGTTTGTGACTGGGTATTAGAGTTATGTTGGAAGAGTTTGGAAAATTCCTGTACTGGGTCCCATCCTAAACCAGTTGAATCAAGCTTGATTGAGGGTAACCCAGGCCTCATTACTTTAAAAGCTTCCCAGGAGAATCTTATTTGTAGCCAAGGTTGAAGACCACTGGTTTAGAGATTAGTACCATTCTTTTACAGGAACCCCGGTGGCAGAGTGTATTATGTGTTGGGCTGCTA